AAAAAAATCATCTAGCATGAAATCTTTATTTTTAATTTGTAAGCAAGCGAGCTTTGCATAACATCGGCTCTGTCATGCTCGACGCACACGCACTAGCACGCGAAAGCTTTCAACTCTATTATATGAGATATTTATGCCCTGATGCGGTGGATATTAATCGCAATCGGCAGCTCACAGTTAAATTCCGCTGCAGTATGGTAATTTTTTGGGAACTTCTTGTATATATGTTTATAAGGCAACGTGAGATGGCACGAGCCAAGAGTCTGAATAAGTGGCGTACACTGCATGAATAGATACACTGACAAACGGAAAAGGAAAAGATAGATCATTACCATATATGTATATTAAGTGTAGTGGGTGGTGGTGGCGGCGGTGGTGGTGGTGGGTGGTAGTGGTGGTGGTGTGGGGGGGAGACGCAGACACGCCCCCTATTGTTTGATGGTACCAAATGTAACTGTATCACCGGACCAGGCGTGTTTACGCATGCCCCTTGACTGCTAATTAAAGATGATCGTTGAAATCATCGTTTTATAATAAAGACTAACTACTCGCTGCAATATACTGGTTGATATGAAAAATTAATCCCAATGCATGACTTTAATAATGGTTGCGAGCTCTAACTAGCGAAATACTAATGAAGTTTAGATCAACCAAGATATGGCGAAGTGTGAGTTGACAGGATCCACACACGGAGCTGTGTGCCCAATAACATTTATAGATTGAATTTAATAGCATTCTCATTAAATTAAGCCATTCATGTAGAGAGCTCGTGCTCAGCAATGATTTGTCATGGAAAATCCCTATCCCTATTTTTCACTTTGATAAAGCGACGAGTATTTCCAAATTTGTCTATACAGTAGCATAGGCTCACATATATGTTCGCGCATGCCCAGTACGCTACAAAATATAATGGCATTTTGTTGCAATTGTACTTTTAAAACGGATAGTAAATATTAGTCACAGTAGCTTGAAAAATACATCACGATGTCTCACATTGACAACAATTGGGAGCCCAAGCTTGAGGTAACGTAACAAAATTTAAAAAGCCTAAACCAGCCAATTGATGGTGTATACTGCCTACATGGTACCTCGATCGTAACCTCGTATGATTAGTCTTCAAATTCCGAGAGACAATATCGAAGACGGACAGAGTAAGTGCGCCCAACGGAAATGACGTAGGCCGACGTTACACGAAATTACGGTCGCTTCGTCAGTGAGTGATTCAGTGAGAGTTAAGCTGGGTTTAAACTGACGATTTTAGGCCGATTTTATGCAGGCGACTTGGCGTTTTTTTTGCCAAGTGGCCAATCAGAGAACAGCAATCAAGAGGTTTGTGCCTCCACCTTAGGGGAAGAGCACGTTTTTGCTATCGGCGCCACGCTGGCGGCGTGGAATACATGCAAAAATTCGTATCGGCGTCGCCCCGCGCGTATGGAAAGCATTTTGTACCAAAAAGCATAAAACCCAGATTTAAGCTCCTAATACATAGTTTTAAAGCATAAAACTAGGTCTTAAGGTCTAAAACTAGGAATTACGCCATAAAACTAGGTATTAAGACCTTAAATCCGGATTCAATCTATAAATGTTATTGGGCACACAGCTCCGTGTGTGGATCTTGTCAACTCACACATCGCCATATCTTGGTTGATCTAAACTTCATTAGTATTTCGCTAGTTAGAGCTCGCAACCATTATTAAAGTCATGCATTGGGATTAATTTTTCATATCAACCAGTATATTGCAGCGAGTAGTTAGTCTTTATTATAAAACGATGATTTCAACGATCATCTTTAATTAGCAGTCAAGGGGCATGCGTAAACACGCCTGGTCCGGTGATACAGTTACATTTGGTACCATCAGACAATAGGGGGCGTGTCTGCGTCCCCCCCCACCCACACACACCACCACCACCACCACCACCACCCACCACCACCACCGCCGCCACCACCACCCACTACACTTAATATACATATATGGTAATGATCTATCTTTTCCTTTTCCGTTTGTCAGTGTATCCGGTCGGCCATATTAGCGTGTATAAGCGTGGTGGACAACGCCAGACATGGTGTGTGGTCGCCATGGTCGCCAATGATTCGCCGAGTCACGGGGCGTTTGTTTTGAGCGATGGTTCAAAACAAACGCCAGGTTCGGCGATCTGACTGAACGGCGGTGAGAACGCGGTACGCGCAAACCCGCGCGCACGGCACGGCCCGCCTCTGTAAGACAGATAGATCAAAGTAAGAAACAACGAAGCGCGAGGTGTATAGTCTAAATCTTAAGGCTAACAGAACATCTACGAGCGAAATGCACATGTGGCATGAGCATCGGCTCACGCGCACGATTCCGACAAAACCAGCGAACGAAATATAACCGGCGTCAATAATTCCTACTCCAAACACATCCGCTAACCGCACGTGCACGCACCAGTGCCTGTTTTTAAAGTACAGTTTCTATTTTCTACTATATATAATATAGTAGAAGTGGAAACCGTACGTTTTTGAAGAATAGCTGATATTTAATAGCTAGAGAGGAAAAGCAAGGTGGGAGACAGAAAAAAAGAAGGCCCTTTCCACACTAGCTAGATGGGCATGACCCACCGCCCTATCGATAGCTCTCGTGTGTTATCCGGCAATGTTGTCTCTCCCATGCTATCCTTTCCTCTCTTATCTCTCCCTCTTGCTCCTGTCTTGCCGCATACTTTCTCCCACGTCTCACGCTGCACTCTTACCCCCTTTCTCCATCAGTGTGTATCTATCTCCTACCTTTTGGTATTCTGCTATTTCTCGCTCTCAATCTCTCAATGTTCTCACCCCTATACTCCTCTCTTCCCCATTTATCTCGGTCCGTTTCTATCTCTCCTTGTCGCTCGCGGTTCCTACTTACTACCGTCTATGCTCTTTTCTTTCTTTTCTCTTTATCTCTACTGCTCTCCTCGGCTCGTCCGTTCCTCGCTCTCTCCTCTCGCCCCTCTCG